TATACATTCATATATACATATATATATAGCTACATAGAATTCTGTGTGAGTGTGGTGTGCCTGTGTTCCAATTTTTCAAGTGTTTCAGAGGTCAGGACTTCCAACTTTTGACATTTAGGAGGATGAGGGTCACGGGGCTTGTTTAGCTTCGATGTCTCTATCAAAAGTGAGAGTCCTAACTTTTGCGTTAAGGCTTCGGCATACTTAGAACTTAGAACTGATCATGTGTTGCAGTAACTAGTATCATCCCCTCTGACCACGAAACTTTGACTAGACTGTTTCACATCGAATTTAGGCTGAGGGCGTGAGGGTTGAAACCTTAGCTTGAGGGCTGTGGACGTGCGTTTGTACATTTTACTGTCGATAAACTACGACACTCTAAACCCTCCGGGGTTGAGCAAGGCTAAAATTTGGGCGCCTTGTTCTGACTTCTCGTGTCGAGTTTGTCGAACTCTTCCGGGATGAGCTCGCAGTCTTCTTCCTCACCTGGCACATGGCTCATGGCAGTGACGAAAAAAGGAACCACCGGGTTACAACCGCTCTGGACCTCAGAGCAGAGCTGCTTCCGTTTCAACATCGACCGCGCTACGCGTAAGGTCCGGGCTCACTATCTGGGCCACAACACGCCTTGGGTCAGTGCAGTGTGAAGGGTGGATTGCCTGTCCTAAATCCCGCTCTTTGCAGTAGCTACTGTCTGCGTGAGACAGCAGATCTACGCTGACGGCAGCAGCGTAACGCTGGTGCTCGTCGTTTTTGAATCCGAGGCACTTTATGTTGACTTCGGCTTTGAGCGCCGTCTCGGAGATCTCCTTCTGCTTTCTTATGTTCTGCTGGCTAACGACCTGCAGTCGGCAATGCATCTGTCACTAATGAGCCGTGCTGCAAGACCGCGCATCTACAGGACCATCCAAGCTCGACACATTATCCAGAAAAATCGCCATAATAAGGTTGAAGACGCCGACCTTGGCTGAGAATGACTGAGATAGAGACCGGCGCTCTCCGTCCAAACTCGATGTCCGCGGGCACTCCTCCTAGATTGCCTCTGAGGCTTCCGAAGCAGTCGCTCCCAATGCCCCTAAAGCTGCGGAGACGAGCATGAAGACCAGGATGTAGGCAATCATGATGGTTCCTCTCATATTATGTTATATCATATTATATNNTTATATTATAGTATAGTATATTGTATCATATTATTTTATAGTATAGTATGTTGTATTATTCGGAATTTTATGGCAATGACTTGGGGACCCTTGGGCCGTCAGGCGCTGACAACAGAAGACACCCATACTTCATAATACTGGTTTAGGGGTGTAGAGTTTAGGGTTTAGGGTTTAGGGTTTAGGGTTTAGGGTTATTTTGTAGCATAATATACGACAGTATGCTACAAGTGACAGACTTTGCTATGAGCATACCATAGGTTTCTACAAAAGGCTATG